GCTCGAACTGCTTGCGTGCTCGTCCGTGAGGGATGAAGTGATTTGTTACCCAGGGCTTGGGAAGCCAACGCCCTGTTAGCACTGATGGCTTTTTCTCAGGACTCGCATTTCCCATTCCACGGGTAAAAATAAACCATCTAACTCGTACGGAATTATATTCCTTTTTTGACAGAGCTGTACTTTCTCGCCCACAGGCTGGTTACTGATAGTTGATATTTGCACAGAACAGCTCAGCCCCAAGCTGTACGTAATGCAGCTGGCTTAACTGTAGTGCAGCATAGGTTGTGTCTTAAAAACGCAGGAGTAGAAAGAGAACTTAGTAAAGCCAGGTGGTGTTAAAATTGTGTTTCACCTGCTATGTTTTGCTGTCACCCCAAACAAGAGTGCTGAGTCTTTTTAGAAGTGCAGCTTCACACTAAGTTATCTTTTTGTACTTCGAGGCAAAAAAAACCAACCACAAAGATATTGCAGGCCTGTCATTTTCACTTTTGTCATTCCTGGTAGTTGTCCTTAGTCCTGACTGGTTTTCCGTCTTCTATTTTGCAGAGAAAATTAATTCAGTTCGCTTGTGTTTCGTTTTGTACTAATCAAGCTTACTCATTTTAGTCTGCTTATATGGTGTAGATCCTTCATCTTCCTGAGACTCTTTTGCAGAGTCTTTGTCTGGTGCATGGTAACTACATGACTAATAAATGGCCCCAAATCATGAAGAAGAGCCTTGCCTGAGATGCCTGTGAAGTACCATTCTAGACTACTAGGGTCTCCTGTTGAGAGGAAGCTGAGTGTAGCAAAGAACAAATGCTGTTAGTGCTCTCAAGTAAAGTTTGGATGCAGAAAAGCATAGTAATCTTTGTGGTTTTCAGTTTGTGGAAACTTCCTCAGGGTATGGAATTTCTTTCTACTGTGGAAAAAATTGCCTTTTATTTCATCATGAATTTGTTTTGACATCATTTGGTATTTGTTTTGCTAGTTCTCTGTGCTGTTCTGACACTTCTCTGTATTACCATACCTTTCGCATGCAGCTCACTAGGGTCTCATTTTTGCCAAAGTATTTTTTAATCTAGAAACTTAAATGCTATGAACATTCATCTGAGTAATCTGCTTCATCTCAAATGGTAGTCAGAGTGGTCACATAGCACATTAAAAACACTTATTTGCACCATTTTGTAATCAATGTATTTGATATGCAACTTGGAAAAATATCTGAGCTTTCAGTCAGAAGTAAGGACACACATTTCTATATTGAATAATGATTCTAAACTTGATGGGGCTCTCTTGAATCAGTCCATTTTTTTGCTAATGACTAACATCCAAAATACTGGATTTAGTGCTTCTTAAGATACATCATATAGAGATCCCCCATACTGTTGTAGTTCTTCCAAGTAAAGTTAAATGAAGGTTTGTTAACTAGGTGCTATATGAGGTTTATGTGCTAGCTGATTCAGAAGTTGTGGCAGTGACCACTTTTTTTAAAATACAAAACACATCCTTTTTTTTATACTGTCTTCAAGATGAAAGATTGAGATGATTTTAGCAATGCAGTCCTTTTTCTACACCAAATGAGACCCATATACCAAAATACAATTGAGATGTAAGAGTAGGTGATTTACCCAAAAGCTACAAAGTGTGTGTAAAACTAAAATTAAAAAAAAAAACCACAAAAAACACATGACCTGATAGGCTCGATTACTAAGTATGGCTAACTAAATATGTTTTTTTGTGTGTGTTTTTTTTTGCCTAGTACTCAAGTAAGGATGCCTTAAGAAGATAACTATGGATAAATATATTAAAGTGCGAAAGATTGGAGAAGGATCCTTTGGGAAAGCAATTCTTGTAAAATCTAAAGAAAATGGCCAACAGTATGTCATCAAAGAAATAAACATCTCCAAGGTGAGTGATTATTATTATTATTACTGTTCCTTTTTTTTTTTTTTTTATATTTCTGTTCCTCAAAAATCATTTTTTTCTTTTTGAAGATGTCAAACAAGGAGAGAGAAGAATCGAGGAGGGAAGTTGCTGTCCTGGCTAACATGAAACATCCAAATATTGTCCTGTATAGGGAGTCATTTGAAGGTAAGATTAACTGAGTAGAATCCGAAATAATAATAATAAGTGACTATCTGTGCACTATTTATTGTGTTTATTTTAAAAGTATATGCGTTTCTTGTCTTTAATCAGTCTTTTAGTGTCTCTTCGTGCATCAATTTTGTCTGATGCTTAAATGAAAGGGTTATGGTCTCTTGTTTTTTCTCTAAAGTGTAAGTGTCCTTGAATACTTATGTATACCCTGATGATTTGGATGCTTGTGTATGTTAAATATGAGTATGGTCTAAATTTGGGGTTTGATAATCTAGCAAGAGCAATTTTTATCTCAAAGTCTATTGTCTTAGAATGCAGTCTTCAGTAGTTGCAATCATTTCATTGCTTTCAGAGCTGTAAAAATAGGTAGGAGTGTTTACTTCATCAAGTTGTGAAGGAAGGAGAGATATAACTGCACATTGTTTTCACACTGAATGTCTTGGAAAATGAGCAGAACATATAAAAGATTCCAGGAGCCTGTCTTACAGGTTAAAACACTGTTTAAAAGCCTAAAAGTTATCTGACATACTGTTCAGGGAGACTGCTCCTTTCTCCTTTACTTCCTCTCTGCTGAGTTTCATATGTCTTTGGGGGACTTTTATTTTTTCTATGCATTAAATTAAAATTTTGTGCCATAGTCATTGTACAGTCGTAATCTTTTGGTTTATAAAATCATGCTTCAGTTTTCTCTGTAATAGAGGCCTGTCCTTTCTTTCCCTTTTTATTTTCACAAGGTAGATCCTGTAATCTGTAGTTCACAAGACTTGATATTGCATCCTTATTGCTAAAGCACATTGACTTTGAACATAGTGATTTGATTTATAAAATAGAATTATTTCAGCAACAGGTTTGCAAGAAATCTAGAGTCCTAGGATCATCTTCTAAAATAATACCTATTATAAAGCTTGACCAAAGCAACAAACGTTGTAAACACAAAAGAAAAATCCTGGTTTTGATGTTTTGAAAGACAAGTTTCAGAAGCCTCTGCAAGAGTGAAATTTAACCAACTTAGATGATTTAACTAATTTTGACTCTATTTACAAATTTTTTTTTAAGTGCTTAGGACTGACTCTTTCAAAAAATAAGAGTTTTTCTTTTGAGCAGCATGTCATTTTATGCATTTATTCAGTCATGCTTAATATATGAGAAGTGTAGTTCTTGTGGTTTTGGTAACTTGCAATTTGCTTCTGCATAATCTGTAGCTGGAAAAAAATGGCATTGGGGAACAAAACTGGAACTTAGTGTGAAATTTGTTATATAGGTATATATCTCATAATGGAAACTACCTGATCATAACTTAAGAGGTACCTATTTTTAGGGTAGAGGATCTATAAGATGTTTGAAAGCAAGTTGAAGAGTGGTTTTATGCTGAATTCATAAAGGGACACTTTTACCTTCATAGTGGTTTTGAACCCCATTTTGGGGCATTGGTTCCGCAGATGTGATTTATTTTTTTTCCTTTTCATATCAAAATAGTCTGATACTACCAGAAATTGGAAACTTAGATTGTGAAACTCAAAATAATAAAAGCATTTTTGCTTGAGGTTTGAAAAAGGGGCTAACAAATGATATCTGAAGATGTGCGTGAAAAGGTTGGGGTTTTTGTCTTGTTTTTTTCTGGGACTACAGTGAAGATATTTGGAAAGTTATGTTAAAAATGAGGAATGTTTTTGTTATAATTTGTGTTTTATTTTACAGAAAATGGCTGTCTCTACATTGTGATGGATTACTGTGAAGGAGGAGACCTATTTAAGAAAATAAATGCACAGAAAGGAATCTTATTTTCTGAAGATCAGGTAACAGCAAACTGCTCTTTTGTTGCATGATATTTTTTCATGAGTTTTAAGTTATTTTGCTTCAGTTTGGCAGATATAGTTACTTAATCTAAAAGGAGGTTCTCAAATTGTGATTCTTATTGCCATCAGTCATAGCAGTACCTTAAAAAAAAAAAAGGTAACTGGGAATCCTGAGTGTGGTAACTGTGGTTTTGCCTGTATATGTAAGGTGCTTTAAAAAAGTTAGATCTCTTGCAAAGTAAACCACATCTGAAAAGTAAGAAATACAGAAGGACATCATGAATGTTTTTTAAACTTTTATTTTTTTTTAAAGACATAATGGCATAGGATTTCTGCTTTGTGATAGTGATTTTCATTTATCAGAAGTACAAATTAGCATACTATGTGAGTATAATAATGTGAAATATGGCAATATAAAGATATGTCATTCAAAAGTTTCTTTGTCCATCAGAAAAAAAAATGTTGTACTGGAAGTATACCAGCAGGTTTACTTTTTCTGCAGTACCGGCTGTGAGGTCATTTGTAAGGTGCGAGAATTTGCAATAGATGAGATGATTTTACATACAGGTTTGTTGAAATTAAATAAAACCAGATAATGTAGGATTGAATTTTTTGGTTAGAAGTGACATATATTTCCTTGTTTATAAATTGTTTTTATGCTTTTGTGTCTGCATCCAGTAGGATCTCAAGTTACGTATGGTAGGAAAGGCTTAGTGGTATATTAGGTCTATTGATGGTACCCTATTCAGATAGGGTAGTCATGAAACATTTTGGATATAGCTTGTAAAACTTTTCATTTTTCTAATTTGGGCTCATTTTTATAAGAAGAGCTTAAGGTAGAAAAGTGAAAATTGCACCTGGCATTATACTGTGATTTTGACATGTATGTACTTGTAAGTTGAGAATGTTAAACTACTATTCACATGAAAAAGTTCTTGCCAGTATTCACTTTTATATAGTCTTTTTTGCAAAAAAGAAATTTTTGTTGGTTTGTTTATAATATTCTAGTTACATCTTGTTGGGGTTTTTTCCTTATTGATATCTGCTTTGTACTGTTTTGCTTTTTGAGATAAAATAGATAAAATTACTATATGATAAGTGTTTTGGTAAATATCGCTGTGGTCTTTTGGGACTCTTGGTTCATTAACTGCAGGAAGGCTTGTATTGTTTACAGCAGAAGTACAATCTTTAAGATGCAAGTTCCACATCTTAAACATTTTAGCCAATCAAATTCATATTGTGTACTTCTGTTAGGTTTATATACATAGTGAAACTAGTAGTATCAGGCTTAAAATCTGGGTAATATGCATATTGCCTTTAAAAGTTTGCGTTATACTGACAGTACTGTTATGTTTTTAATTATTTTATGGTATAAGTGAAGGCAGGTTTGTGGGAAGAGGGTTAAATCTTGAATTATAATAAAACTGATTTGATAACATCTTCAGTTATGTAACTGGGGAAAGTTTCAGATAAATAACAATGCTGATATTGCATTTTCTTTTATGCATAGATCCTGGATTGGTTTGTACAAATCTGTTTAGCACTAAAACACATACACGACAGAAAAATCTTGCATCGAGACATAAAGTCACAGGTATGTAGGTAACTATTTGTTTACTTCCAAAGTGATTGCATTCATATAGTGCTAGTGTAAGCTGGCAAATTATGGAAAATAGTCTTTTTATGCAAACACTTTAACACTGCAAACACTTCTTTTCTTCAGAATTGTCTGGAAGATATTTGTAAGATATTTGTACAAACAGATGAGGCTGTTTGATAAAGCTGTTTGAGTGTTACTCATATATTTATTTATGGGGGTATAAAATGTTACATTTTGGAATGTGCAGTAGTGTTTAATTTTTATGAAGTAGGACTAGAGTAGTCTGCTGTTTCATAATAGTCAATAACTATATAATGACTTCAGAGGGATTGAATGGCAGAAAACTTTAATCTTCCCAAAATATGTTGAGAACAAAAAGTGTGCAATTGTATGAATGTTTTAATTAACAGACTTCTTAAAATTTCTATATCAAGAATATATTTTTAACCAAAGATGGAACAATACAGCTGGGAGATTTTGGGATCGCCAGAGTTCTTAACAGGTAACTCCTTTCTGATATACTGTTCTCTCAGACTTAATCTAAATCACTTCACTCTAGGAAAACGCAATCTATCTGTGTCAGGTGAGTTAACTAGTTAACATTCATTCTTATTTTTTTTCCTTAGTACTGCAGAGTTGGCTCGCACTTGCATAGGAACACCATACTATTTGTCGCCAGAAATATGTCAGAACAAACCTTACAACAATAAAAGGTACTAATCAGCATTTTGTTAAGCATTTTGGATAAGGAGAAGAGAGCAAGTTCTTCTAGAAATCTAAGACTGATGGTGACTGATGGTGATGATGGTGACGGGAGGTTAGTTCATCTCTTACCCCAGAAGGTGCTGAGTCTCACTGTCTGAGTGGGACCTTAGTAGGTCTGTGCAGTACGAAGCAGCGTGATGCAGGGATGACTTTGCTTAATGTTCTGAATTTTAGGTCTATCCATGTTCTTAATTATGGTTCTACTTTTGCCTAACTGCACGCTAGTTTTACTGGCTTATCTTAGGCAGTATGAATGTGAGCGTGTGTTAAGGGTGAAATCACAAAACCAGGAGTTGGATTCTCTAAGCACATATGCAGTGAGGTGGCTCAGCTTGCTTCAGATAACAAAAGTCATACAGGTACTTTGCTTATATGTTTGCTGCCCTAGCAGTAGACTGTATCTGGTAACAGTGTCCCTAATGTAATTTAAATGGTCATTATCAAGTTAGTCTTACAGTGCATGAAGCTGCTGCACTGCTGCAGCCATTGCTTTGAGTGCCTTGTTGTAATTTCAGTTGGTTTCTTAAAAGGTAAAAGATTATTAATGTTCCTTGTCCCTTAATTTCTTCTACGTGGGATTTATTACACATTTCTAACAGAATTCTGTAATCCTGTAATGAGTGAGGGTAAAGTAAGTCAATGTTTCACAGAGTAAGTTGAGAATTGTATTTGCTGAATTAGGTGATGTGTTTTGGCTGGTTGTTTTTCTGTTAAATTCACCAAGACTTAAGGCAAGTGTATGTATTGTTTGCCTAATTTCTGTGATTGGAATGGTTCAGATGAAAAGGTCTAAAGAGAATCTGGACCCAAAATAACCTCATCTGGTTTTCAGGTTTTGGTTGTTGAATTCATTTTTTGTTTGGAGTTTTGTGGTTTGGAGCTGAAAGATGTCCATACAGGGGGAGCTTGTACATACACAAAATACCACCTTCTCCTTTTTAAAGACAGACTTCACAGATACTAGTTACTTGAAAGTGTTAAACCCAAAACTAATTCTTAAGATATGTTCTCTTTGTTTAGTGATATCTGGGCCCTTGGTTGTGTTCTCTATGAAATGTGCACGCTCAAGCATGCGGTGAGTAGAAACTTTTTGTGCCTTCAAAAAGAACAGTGATTTCAAAGAGTAATTTTGCCTTATGTTACAGAAATGTGTTTCACGATGGGAGAACAATTTTTAATGCCTTAAGAGTGGTAAATAGTCTCTGAAAGAATACTGCTTCAAGGATGGGAAGAGGCAACAAAGAAATTTTCCAGCCACTTAGTAGAAAAGATAAGATAGTGTGTACCTAGAGATAGCAAGTAGACCATTGTTTCGGAAGTTTTAATGAGCTATGCGTCCTTGGCGGTGCTTTGAACCAGACCTAAGCAAGGCTTTTCTAGTCAAAACCCTCATTATGGAGATTAGAGGGTAGCACAACATCAAAAATTATTTATGAAAGGCTCAAAGTGAGCCAAAATTAAATGTGGCACTGGATGATCACAACCACTGACTCAATTCAGAGCACTGAAAACTTGTTCCCCCACAACTGCAAGGAGCGTGCATGCTAATTTACGTGAGAGGCTAAGCTTATTTTAATGTACTGAACCAATACTGAATGTGATAGTTATCCCTAACCAGTAACTGTAGAACTAGTGGCAAAATAGGCGTGTTTATGCAAATAGATATGTTGCTTTTTTTTTTGATGTGATGTGCTAGTTTCATCTAGCATCCAAACTCATCCAACTTTGCTAATAAGCCAATGTCAGCTTTCTAAACTATCATTTAGTTTAGAGAGTTCTTTCTATGCAGTTGCTGCTTTTGGCAGCAAGTTGAAGAAAGGCTTTCATGGTGGCTGTTTGAAATTACCCTCCAACGATTCATCTCCTCTTCTTATATTGACCAGTATTTTCCATCTGTGTTCATGCTAATCTCAAGGTTCTTGGAAAAAAAAAAAAGGTCTTGAACATCTCTTATATGAAGAGAGACTGGGAGAACTGGGGCTGTTTAGTTTTGAAAAGAGAAGGCTGAGAGGGGACCTTATTAATGTAAACAAATATCTGAGGGGTGAGGGCCAAGAGGAAGGTGCCAGTCTCTTCACAGTGGTGCCCAGTAATAGGACAAGGAATGATGAGTATAAGCTAGAACACAGGAAGTTCCACCTCAGCACGAGGAGGAACTTCTTTCCTGTGAGGGTGACAGAGCACTGGCACAGGCTGCCCAGAGAGGTTGTGGAGTCTCCTTCTCTGGAGACTTTCAAAACCCACCTGGACGTGTTCCTGTGTGACTGCCCTAGGGGATCCTGCTCTGGCAGGGGGGTTGGACTAGATGATCCCTAGAGGTCCCTTCCAACCTCTGACATTCTATGATTTATGATCTCTCCAGAAATCTTAGCACTGTGTAATTTGTTTTCGATGTAGCTTTTTCATGAACTGTATTAGTTGAAAAAATTGTTAGATGTTGTGACAAATGATGCTGTGAATAGTGTTCCTTTCTTTCAAAAAAACTTGACATTTTCATTGAAAGTCGAATTTGGACTGGCAGGTTTTGTGCAGATGGATTAATGCCTTTCTGTTTAGAACAGGAATAGTTCTTAGAAAAAACTCCTGGGATGCAAGAGTTGCCTTTTTTTTTTTTTTTTTCCTTCTTCCTATATATGTGTGCTGTTTTGAAGAATATATCTATTTGCCAGTTAGGAAGTGAAAGAAAAACCACTTATTTCTGTCTTGTTTTGAGGTTTTTCTTTGTGAGTTTGTGTTTGATTGGGGTTTTTTTGTTCTTTTGGGTTTTTTTTAAGAAGCAATTACAGCAACATGAAAAAAACCCCAAAGGATAAGGGTTTAATTTCATTTCAAGCTTTTGTAATTTCTTACTGCTTAGTCCTTTCTGTGGCAGCAACGCTGACAATGTTGCCTTTCTGAGAGTTGATGGCAATAGGTTGTTTTCTGTGAACTGAGTGATACCTAGAGTTTCTTTTTATTGTACAAAGGAATTAAAATGACACGCTCTGTTGCCTCAGTTTAAGCTGAAGTCTAAGCATTCCTTTGGATTTTACACTGAATGAATGTGAATGCTTTGCATTCTTTCATTTGAAATGCAGCTTCACTAAAAAGGGCAGAGGGCATGTGATGATTGAAAGTGTTTGGGAGAGGAGGTCAAGCAGACAGTTATGTAATTATTCTTAATTGTATATCATCATTAGTTTAGATTTAGAGGGAGATAATTATGCGTTAGCAAAATTTGTATTTTATAGTATGAAGTAACTATCACGATGTATTTATAATCAGAACACTTTACAGCAAATTATTTTAAATGGATGATGTGTAAACTGTTGATGGCCTTGAAAATGTATTTTGTTATGTTGGTGTAGGGGAAGGTGTGTTGTTGGGGTTTTTTTTGTCTTCATTTGCAGCTTTGCAGACAGTACATGATGTGTAGTCACTGTTTTCTTTCTTGTGTGTTGACAGTTTGAAGCTGGTAACATGAAGAACTTGGTACTGAAGATAATCTCTGGACCTTTTCCTCCTGTTTCTGTGCATTACTCCTATGACCTACGTAATCTGCTGTCACAGTTATTTAAAAGGAATCCTAGGAACAGACCATCAGTAAACTCCATATTGGAGAAAAGCTTTATAGCCAAACGGGTTGAAAAATTTCTTACACCACAGGTATGAAATTAGTTTTAAATCTAGTTTTGCTAAAAACATCATAGGACTTTTCTTTATTCTAATGTTAATATACAATATGAGAAATTGAAGGGTATTCTCTAAAGCTTCTATAGAGATACTTTCAGTTGAGGAAAAAAGAGTTTTATTGTGAACTGTAAACAAAAATCTTAAATTACGCAAATATTTGATAGTTTTAAAAAAATAAATTTAAATTGGCATTTTCTTCAGTGTATTGTTTTGTGTGTTTTTTCTATATAGTGAGGAATTGTGACTGATATGTTGATTTGTTTACATATGCGTTTTTTCATAAAACGATGCTGTCAATGACTTCATCATTGCTGCTTTATCATAATTTCTTCAATCAGCTTTTTGTTTGGAATTTGGAATGGCCTGAAAGTTTGTTCTATGGAGTACTGCTAAGTAAACTGATCTTTAAATTTCTTAATGCTTGAATGTATCACATTTATGTAACCTCAAAGTAGTTGCTGACTATTCTGTTTAGAATCTCTTGCTACCACTTGACACCTATTCATGTCCTTTAATATAAATCTAAAAAAAAAAAATCAAGATTAAGAAGTGAATAATAGTACTGATACAAGGTAAATGATTATAAACAGAGAAAGGACATGGAGGAAATGAATGCAAAAGGAGACCTCATTAAATGCAAAGAATTCTAATGGATTCTAACTCACAACTAAAGAAATTTGACCAGAAGGCCATATATAATTGGAATTTGAGTCGTATATAAAATAAACTTTCAACTAATAATATTTCAGATTAAAATAAAAATGAAAGGTAAGATTTGGAAGACTTTACAGATAAGTTTATTCTTACTTTTACAGTAGTAATAGGTTGATCTGATTTTATTTGCAGTAGCTAGAGTGGATATGAAATTTTTATTTGGAGTTAGTCATGCGAAGTTTAATTAGTAATAGAGTACTACCAGATGACAATACCAATTTCTCCTACATTGAGTGAATACTTTATTTTCCAGCTGAATCACTGACATGTTTGACTTACGAGATGCTACCTAATCTTAAAAAATATGGAAAAACCCCACATCCAGAAAGCACCTTTTACTAAACATAGCTGTCACTGGTATGTTCCCATTCAGCCAGAGGTGGTCATTCTGTGACGCAGCTGTAACACCCATTTTCTTTTAGTTTCATCCATGGCTAAAGCTGTTGAACTCTCTTTTCGTTAGTCTAAGCTTAAGACATCTTCTGTAGTTGACATCTTCAACATGTTGCAACTATTGGTGAAATCATGCTCTTAAACGACAGGAAATAAGTCTTCCAGGTTTATATGAATACTTTCTTAATTTTCATAGTTAAGTAGGATATAGTAAAGAGTGGATCTAAATTAGCATCAATTAAAAAAAAGTGAAAAACAACAACAGGCTTTTTGAGCGGTACTGAAGAGTCTTATTTCTTTTCTGTCTGCTACTTGTTGTTGAAAGCATCAACTTTGTTTATCCTAAACCTTCCTCTTTCTGTTCAGTGGTACCCCATTTCTTACACTGATATTATCATTTGCTGCCCTTGCGTGTTTCTCCACAAAATCACATGTGGTGTTCTAGACCTGTCACATCACATCTTGGTCATTTTTTGTAGACTAAAGAGCAAGATTATTTATTCTTTGTACTGGAGCCTTATAACACTTCTAATTATCCTTGCTGCTCTACCAAGGTGTTGAGTTCAGATCTACACAGAGTATTGGAGGTGATGGTCTATTAAGGTTTGAATGTTATTTTTCTAGACTCCAATTTTTACCCAATAGGACTGTTTTCCACATTTTTATTATGATTATTTGATATGCCTGACACCACACCGTGTATGTTGTTCCTAGATATCCACATAGGTGTTGTCACCTTCCCGTCTTGAAAAGGATAGAGAAACTTAAAAACTGCAAATATTTTTGAAGAACTACTTTTTGACACAAGGTGTCTGAGAAACTGAAGTAAAATTTGACAATTACACAGAAGTTTAAAATGAACTATGCATAGAACTGTTGATGCTTACATTAACTTTCTTTATAGATTGTTAGTGAGTTCATAAATGAGGTAATGTGTGCCACCCAGCAGTCAAACTAAAATGTTCTCTTAAAATTAAGAGTAAATATGCCAAAAATGTTTGAAAATACTGAATCTAGCTTCATATTAGTATTAGTGATAGTAAAATTAATGCCTGAAGTTGAATATTCAGCATAAAGTTGAATATTGATTTAAATTAAAGTTATTGTAAATACTGTTGGTTAGATGCTTACTGGGAGAGGCAGACTTCTCTGAAAAAGAATTCGTTGTAGCTTCAGTCATGAATAACTGTTGACTAACTGTTCAACTTTTTGTGTAGCTTATTGCAGAAGAATTCAATCACAAAATCTTCCAGAAGTTTGGGCCACATGCTGCACCAGGTAAGGAAGTGTGTAAAGTACTTTTGCTTCCAGCTGTGGCAAGATAGTGTATGTAGGTTTATTCTCTGACTGGGTTTGGTGTGTTCTTGTACATAATTCTGGAAGTTTCAGAAAAAAAGAGAGGAAGGCAATTTTCTTCTCTCCCCTCAGGAGTTTGATGTAAGCAGGGTACAAATGATGCAAATACAAACTGTGATCCTGTAATATTTTAACTATACTTTTTCTTCTTGTGGTAGGCTATGCTTCCAAAATTTAAGGAGACAGTGAAGACTGCAAATGCTGGAAATAATTTGTATGTTGTTACTGTATGATTATTTTTCCCCACTTAGTAATGACAAATATGTAATAAGAAAGACCATTTCTTTGAAAAGCATGGGAGATATCATTAGAGATTCCAGGATAAAGCCCTGACTTCAGCCCAAAGCAGCAGAATTTCTTCTGCTGGTAGCAAATTAAATCATGGTTCATTTTGTCAAGATAGTTTTACCTTACTTCTTTTTTTTGTATTAGTTTGCCCTTTTTCCTCTAGTTTTTCTGCCCCCTCCCCTTTTTACATTTTATTTCCCTCTACTTGCTTGAAGCTGCAGCAAGGACTTGGGTGTCTTTTGAGAGTGTTGTTTCCTTGCTGCCCTGCTGTTCTGTAGTAAGAGAGCCTTGCTAACAAATCCACAATATTGGCATATCTTCAGGAGCTCTACAGCGGAAAAAAAATATCCCCGAAGGCCACTGAAGCTCTCCTAGAACTCATCTTCTGCTGACATTAGTGTTGCAGATTGCAGTTTAGTGGTGAGGCCTGTCTCTCCATTCCAGCAGTAAAATTTTTTGCTGTGTCCATGACAACTGTATAATAAAGCATGACAGCTTGAAATGAGCTTCAGTTCTCCGGTTTGAAGTGTTGAGAGTGAAAAGCTTAGGGACTGTGTTCTGCTGTTCCTTATCATGCATGAAATTTAGACAAGCTGTTTTGGACAACTGGGTATATTGCACTGACACATCACCTCGCGTGAATGAAATGTTAGCACTTCTCCCATTTTCTTTCAGCTTTACCGGTCCAAGATTTAGGGAAAAGGAAATGTGATACACTAGCCAGCCTGAATAGTTGTATAACAGTTTGTTTTGTTTTTTTTCTCTAGCTAAAAGACCAGCTCAAGAACAGATACTGACTTCAGTTGCACCAGCTCAGAAAATTACCAAACCTGCTGCAAAATACGGAGTGCCTTTAGGGATCAGGAAGTCTTGTGATGCACACAAAAAGCCTAATGAGAAGAAACCATTGGCTAAATCTAGACAAGTAAGAAGCCAAGTTACTTAAATTGAACTGATTTGCTCATACCTTATTTTAATGCTATGAAAATATTATTAATTAATTTTTTAAAAGTTTTTTATATGGACACGTACAGCTGCAGACAAAGTAATAGTAGTTTAAATGCTCTGCTTACTTCATTATTGATTTTTCTTTTTTTGATGGTGGTGCTGTTCAGATGGTTTTAATGACATTTGGAGACTACTACATTAGGTTTGGTTTTTAATTCCGCTGTTAAGTTACATGTGTTTTGCATGTTTTCAGTTCCTTTGTTGGTGTTGACCACTCTTAGAAGTATTGGAAGCCTGTAAGGTATACCAATGTCATTGACACTGGATAAGAATCTTAGCATCTTTCTTCTTTGTTCAAAAATAATCTCAAATTTTCAAAACATAGAAAATTACTGAAAAGGTTTTCTCAAGTGTTGTCAGACAGAGAAATTTTGTAATTTGGACACGCCTTTCCCAGACTTAATTCTATGAGCTAATGAGAAATAGTCTTCTGTATACTTTCATGCAGTTCTTCTGATCTTTCTTCCAGTCATCTTCTCTGTTTTCCTTATTACATACAGCTCTTTTTTTTCTCTCACTTTAATTACTGCAAGGCCAGGAGATGTTTATGATACAGTGAGTTTTGAGCTATATGCAGATACCAATCAACTAGCTCCCACTTCAGCAAGAGAGCTAATTCAAATTTTCTTCAAAATAAGGAATATTTTTGTTGTTGTTGTTGTGGGGTTTTTGTGGGTTTGTTTTGTTGTTCTTTTCTTCCCCCCCCTTTCCCCACGGCACTGCGGTGAAAATAATACTGAGGTATTTACCTAATTGGTAAATTTGATGGGTGGATAGAAAAATGTTCTTGAGATATATCTTATCTTTGAGGTTCAAAAGTTATTAGAGGTTTATGGAAAAGTTGATTGATCATACAAGCCTTATTGGCTTTTGTGATACACAGTTCAAAACAGAGAGCAAGAAGAAGGGAATACACAAATTTCTTATGTATACTTAAGAGACTGTGAGCATTTTTATGTTTTAAGGTTTGGTTCCACAACCACGTGCTAGTCTGCTGCTCTTTATAATCAGTTTGATCAGCCAACCAATCCAACTTGCATAGAGACTTCAAGTGGCAGGGTAGAGACTGGAAAAATATCCTGTTGTTGCATGTAAGCAGTCAGTAATGCTGCAATTTTAAGACACGGTCTCTTTGTGGATTGTACCTGGTGACAAGGTATAAGATGTAGGATAGAAACTGTGGCTGCAGTGTAATATAAGTTTCCTTCTATTTGCTGTTGTTCCAAGTATCATCATCAAAATAAAATATTTAGATAATCAAAAGAAAATATTATGAAGCTCTCTGTGTACAGTCGGAAAAAAAAGTAACCCTCACTCTTCTGAGAAGATTAAACAGTAGGGTTTATCACGTAGAGCTGCTTCTTTACCAGGTGTTCAGCAGTGGCTGCATTCCCTTCCATAGGTAATGGGAACTCTTACTTGTAAGAGAGTGTAAGCATAGCCTAATAAATCTGTTCTCCAAATAAAACAGAATCTTAGTATCTAGGGACTCTCAATGACTTAGAGTGGAAAAAGTTTGTAATGCAGGATGATATTGCCAGAGAAGAAAAATTAAAACAAAATAGTTTTAAAAATTACTGCCTTCAGATTTCAAGAGAGAACTTTCAGCAGAAGATCAACAAGTTACAGTAGAATTTACCCCTAGATCCTAGCAGTGCTTTTTGTTTAAAATCTCCTGAGTAATTAAGTATTTTAAACCCCATTTTGCACATGCTAAGTTGTGGGTTTGAGATTTTTTTTTTTTCTGATTAGAATTTTTCTTTTTCTTGCATCGTGCTATCTAATTTGAAGTTTCACCTTTTATCCAGGCATTTCCAGCTCCAGTGAAGAAAATGAATCCAGGAGAAGAAAGGAGGAAAATGTTTGAGGTATCATGAAATAATCTGCTAATTTTCAAACTAAGCAAAAGCTAAGTCCAAAAGAATGACAAAATAAAACCTCCAAACCTTTCCTCCTTATCTTTTTTCAAATATTATGTAACAGTGATTTATTTAAAAAAAATAAATTAATCTTCATGGATGTATACAAGCAATCAGAGCAGTAATCCATGTTGACAGAGGCTTGACGAAATGATGACTCAGTAATAATACCAAGTTATATGCTTATTTTTCAGGAACCTTCAAAAAAGAAAAGGTTAGAATTGCCTGAAAAGGAAAAACGCCAGAGAGATCAGGGAGACAAGGTTTGTGAAACTTTCTTTTTCCACTCATAGTAGTGTTAATCAAATATCTTGTCATGTGTTATGTGTTGCCTATGAATATGAACTAGTTCCTTTTCCCAATTACTAAGCATGTTTAATCCTTACACATTGCAGATCACTTTACTGAGGGCAGATGAAATGAGAAGAGTGGAAAAAGAAAGGGTAAAATATGTTTAAAATATATTAATAGTGAAGTTCAATTTTTGCTTAGTGGTTCCTTGAATTATGTTTTCCTGTATTGTTTTCTCCTTTAGATGGAACGAATAAACAGAGCCAGGGAACAAGGATGGAGGAATGTGCTTGGTTCAGGTGGAAGTGGTGATGTTAAGGTTGGCAGCAGATGCAGAAATGGGGTGTAGTCTGTTACCCCAACCTTTGGTTTTCTGGCATGGTCCTCTCTTTTCAGAAAGATCCGCTCTTGGAGATCAACTCTTGGGACTGCCATTTATTAATCTATGGATGATTTAAGAGAAACTGTATAACACACTCTCTTCTCTGAGTTTTTGGAGATTATGTGCAATTTTCATTTTTAATTCTTAGTAAATTTCTGAATCTCTTCTTTCTGCCAGTAATGGTCTTCATACACCACTTTCTTTTTTTCCACCTCTGCTTTTGCTCCTTTTCCTGTGCTAAATCTATGCATGAACAGCTGCTTTCACATTCAAGTTTTTTTCTTGAATACTTATGTTGAAGTCTTTTTACAGGTTCTTGTATTATGATAGTGGACCTATTCCCCAGTATTGACTACCTGCTTCTAAGCATTCCTTGTTATTTAGTAACATAGATGTTTTATATATATCGATAAGTTGTTCAGGCAGTGAATAAAAAATCCTCAGTAAATCTAGTTGTTTTTTTCTACAAGCAGTAAATTCTTTAGACATTCACTTCCTACATAATTTAATTACCTAATTTAATCCTATTCCTATGACAGTTTCTTTTTGCCTGTTTGTGTGTGTCTTATTTCATGCAAACTTAACTGTTCTAGGAAGTAGTCTCGTAAAATTAGTTGAACATAAAGGGCACTGGGTATTTTCATCAGACAGAGCCAGTGGAGGAGCTGCCATGGTGTAAATTTTATCTGACAATAGAAAATGGATTGAACCCCAGCTATTTGTGGTGGTAGTGAGTCTTAAAAATATATTTTGTCTACACGTGTAGTAGGGTTTTTGTAAACAGGCTCTGACTGCATAGTAGAGTCAAAATGAATGGAAGTTTTATTCTCTATTCCTTGTACAAGACTACAAGCAATGCACAAGTGCTTGGCCAGGTTTCAGTAGCTGCTTATTAAATGTGTTATTTCAGAATAGACTTCGTCTTTGCATGTGTGCCGTGCATTATATAAGTGAAGTTTAAATATAAAAGCAAACTTAAGCATACCAGACTTTGAAAACTACCTAGTGCTGATTTAATGAAAAAATCAAAAAACTTCATTTGATTCCCGTGCCGCCCATCTCTCTGTCTCAAGATGAAACTGGCAGGCTCCAATACAAGCTTCCATACAACACAATGTGTCAGTATCATCATGTTTCAATGAGAGCTACCTGTGTTCCTGAAGACAGTCAAGTTTTGGTTAGCTTAGAGAGTTTTAGTGCAAGGTCATTAGACTCTGCAAACGCATAAAGTGTTCTGTTGTAGCCACAGCTGCATCTGTACCAGTATTGTCAGTCACCTAGGGCAACTGAGGTTCAGTGTCTGTGTAAATTTTCACTAAGTGTCACTGGAGTAAAATGTCATGGCAGGCATGCTTTAAAATTAATTTAAATGTCTTCTCCAAATTGGATAGTTTAGTACAAATCTTACTGCAGACCACTAGGTTACCGTCACTCCAGGTTTCAATATTATTATAGTAATCTTCACTTAATGATCTTTTTCCTTCTCCAAGATAAAAACAGTGTGTTCACCAACATCCTGATGGTGCTGTCAAGTAACAAGACTTTTCCCCTCTATTCATAGAAACTGTAGTCTTGTACAGTAAGTTGTTTTTATTCAGATGGACAGCATACCTGCATGTTTATTTGGAAGCCTGGATAAATTTTTCAGTTAGTGTTCCATCATATGGATTATGGGGAACCGTTGATATTGTGGAACTGAAACTCGGAATGCGAGCTGAATTCCATTATCAAATATAATCTGATCAAGAAACTTAAGGAGGCAATCTTAAGCCTGTCATGTCTGCACTCACTTATTTAAATTTATTAGAAATCCTTAAGACCACTCTAGAAGGAACATTGACACTATTGTTAAAACAAGTTCCATAAATGCACTACCATGGGCTATTTAACTGCTTCCCCCAGGTGTAAAGGGAACATTTTAATGCATGTGCTGACAACCTTAACCTTATTTTGCCAGTTGCACATTTTCTGCTTCCATCCTTGGCTACTACTATACACAGCTGCTTGCAACTTGTTTTATTTTCCTGTTTTCACATGAAGTTTCTGTAGGAATTCTGATTCTTTAAAAATAGCACAGATTATTTGCCTAAAGCGATAGCCTGTAGCGGATGTTCTCCTGATCTGAGCTTTAGTAGGGAAGCATCTCAATTCTGGTGATGAAATCAAAGTATAGGTTGGCAACAATGGAGGTTCTCAGATAAATGTGCACTTAGTGCCATTCAGCAGACTTAGAAGTGTGCTTAACTGTTTCCAGCTTCATGAAAAAAAATGTGTCTACAAATCACTCTATAGTACTTCAGTTAGCACAGTGTCACTTGTAATTTTTATGTTAAAACTTTGGGGTTTGCCATGTAGAACAACCATCTCCAATTATGCTTCAGAGGATTTGCTACCAGTTTTTTCCAAAATGTGTCGCAGATGTGTCACACATAACTGGACTATTACCAGAGAGAGGTAAAATGCTATATTATTCTGGAGTGCTAACAGAAAAGTAAGTTTTCTCTATATTGTAATTCATTAAAACAGGGAACATATTAGGAATAAAACTAGGGCTGATTCAGAATTGTTGCAGGACATGCTTTTATTCTGCTGAAGAGGTGAAAATTGGAATGGCATATTAAAACCAGTATTTGAGATTTCCACCCTACCTTCTGATTTCCAGGCACCATATTATGGCGGTGGAGGTGGTGTTGGTCCTTTTCCTGTGTCTTCCAGAGGACAATATGAACACTACCATGCTATTTTTGACCAGATGCAACAGCAAAAGGAGAACATTAGAGTAGCTGAAGAAAGGGAAGCCAGACTGAGAGTCAAAGTACAAAACCAAGACATTATTGAAAGGTATGGCTGCCTTCCATTAGAAGCTGCATGTGGTCTGCTTTAGATGAAAGTAATGAAAGTTACTGTACGTATTTATCTGCAGAGGAATTCCACCTGGAGTACGTCCAGGAGTTCCTAAGGGGCCTGCAGGTCATCACCATTTACCTGATGCTGGTGCAGTTAGGAAAAAAATGAAAAGATTGAAGGAGGTGTCTAAACAAGCCAATACGAACAGGTTGGACAATGATAATCCATAGACCTGTCCCTACATGTTAGATTCTTGTTCTGTGTCTTGTTTCATGTAGTAGTTGGACATGTCTCAAAATCGCTTCTATCCATTGGTACCGTGCTGTCTGTCCATGTGTTAGTCCCTCACAGACCACAGTGCTTTTAGAACCAATGGAAACCTTGGCCTCCCCAGTAGTGGAAAAAGTGAATTACTAGCAACTGCAACTAGAGTAGATTTCAGCCAAAGTTCTTGGCTTAACGCAGTTGGAGATAACATCCTCCTTTGCTTTTTTCATAGTTCCACTTCTTGTGTTACCTGCCAAGATGCTTCCCTTCTCCTGTCATCTCATTCTGACCACCTTTTCTACATCGGTTCCACTCTAGCACAGGAGTGTCTAAAAAAAACTCCCAGAGTTTTTGAATCCTGTTTATTGATCAGTGGAAGGGCTGCAAATTATGAATAACATGGAGATCATGAAGAGAAACTGATTCATTGTTTCTCAAATACATTAGCATTAACTTGGAAGCAGTAATGAAAATACTGTGTGAAAGTTTCAAAATGGGTAGAGGTGGGGTTTTTTCTATTTGTGAACTGGATTATCTTTAGCCTTAAATTAATATTATCATTTAAAATGTGGTAAGTATTTGTACTTTATTGTCTACAAACAATTCATTATCATAGCTAGCCTAGCAGAATTTCTCTCCTGCACTTTATTCTTTCAGATGGAGGTGAAATATGATAAGTGTGAGGGATGTTTAGCTCCAATAAACAATGTAAATAATTGCAACTTTCTTAAAGGTAGAGAATTTAGAGTGTATATGTTAAAGAGGTTGAGAAGTCCTCATGTTGCAATCACTCTGATTACGCTACCACAACTAACATAAAGCTAAATATATTCAACATCACCAATCTCTAAAAATTGTCTCTTGGACAGAAATGCATCCCAGAAGAGATATAGTTGAAATGTTTTAGCAAAATGAGTCGCTCAGCTTTACAGTAGGGAAAACCATTGTCATAAAATTGAGTTGAACTAAGTTTTTCCTGTCAGTTTGGCTTGAGACAGGTAGGTTTGGGTGTTTTACTTGGGAAGCACCTCTCCTCTAACACTGTCAGCTGAACTTCAGCTCCATGACACATGTTTGTACAGGTTTCACTCTCCACTGATTGAGTTCATCTGTAATTAGCAGTAAAAATCTTGTAGTGAGTCAAATATGTGTGTATATATATTGCGTGTTTGTTTCTTTACCAGTGACACCGATGCCTTTTCAGAGCATCAGCTACAATGTTTGTTTTGTTGAATCAAAGTATCTCTGCCTTCCTCTTAAGGAATTGACATATGAAAATATTTAATTTCCTTGTTGCTTGAAGGGGCGTGGGTGGGTGGGTGATTTTCGGCTTAATCCACTTTCCTGCCTGCCTGCCTGCTGCTGGACCCCAATATTCCTCAGTCAAATGAGACTAGGGAAACCTTGGAAAGAGGACTGGCTCATCACTCTGCTATTTCTTAGAATATCTTACACCATTTCTCAGTGGGTGTTCTTTTAATAGAAATCTTTCTCTGAGCCCACTTCTAACCAATTTGTCAGAAACCGACAAAAAGATTGTATGTATGTACTAGGAGACTTGCCAGATGCTCAGTTATGATCACTTGAACAGGAATCCAAGCAGGTATCCAAGCAGGTCCCTGACCTAGGATGCAACATATGGAAAAAAAAAACCCTCTTATTTTGGCTAATTCTAAGGTAGGAAAATTCCTTCACAGTCCATTTAAAAACAAACAAAAAATCCCCCAAGATCTCCTGAAAGGAGTTGCCAAAGCACTCTGAGAATACTAGCACTGTATTAATTATCTAAGTGGTAGAAGCTCTTACTCTAAACATAGGCCAGTCTTAAAGGACTGCTGCAGTATTGCCCTTACTGGCTGGCTCATGTCGTGAGTTCTTGCTCACCTCTAAAGGGAAACCTTGAAAGAGTCTTATTTTTCACAAATTATAACAATAATGAAGCAAGCTGAGACATTTTCAGAAATAATCACGCTAAGATGGTGTTTTGACATTCATTTTTGTTTTGATGACCAGGATCTGGAAGGATAACACGGTGTTCTGTGTTTGTTTTTTAAATTGTTTTAGCTTTAGTTGGTCCCATTTTCCTCCGTTTTGTGGAAGTCTGACTTGTATTTTGGCTGATGAAAGGCATTTTTTGAAGATGCCTCTCACGCACAAAAAGTTACTTTTTTGTGTGTGTGTCCTAGTTAGACTAAATGCCGGGACCAGGGGGAGGAGCACTGAATGACGTATTTCAGAGACTTTCATCTTGCCATGTCTTGCGATTACGCAGGCAAAGAGCATGGATAGCTGCAGACAGAGCAAAGCAAGTTGAAGAGTTCTGGCAACGAAAGAGAGAAGCCATGGAAAACAAAGCTCGAGCAGAGGGACACATGGTATGGAATCTGGTCTTCCTATGCATATATTACTGTTTGAGCATGTTTTATGAATCTTTGGAGTAGTATCATAACTGTGAAATACTGACTAAATATTTTCCTAAGTATTAAAAAAACAAAAAGAGAATGGGAGGTAGGTTTTTTTCACTTTGTTACCGATTTTATTAAAATGTAACAGTTGTACAATGCATTTCTCATGACTGTAAATTTATTAACGAAGGAAATTTTTTTTTGCATGTGTCTAACTTGAGATTGTGAATTTTAGAACATTCATTTACATTCTTTTCATAGCTTTAAAGTTTTTGTCAAAATTAAACTACTATTCAATAGCTTGAAACTAAAATTAAGTTTGATAAAACCAATATGACTAATGGTCAGATACAGTTCTGTGTTTTACAAAAACATTCCGCTTATTGGAAGGTATTATAGCGGCATCTCTCTGTTAAGATTGATGCTTCTAAAACCTTTACTCCTTAGAGATTAACTAGTGGGCAATGTCATGAAATGTTCTTTGTTCTTTATGCTTGCAGTTCTGAATTCAGTATTCCTTTAGGAAGCTTATTTTGCAGTAAAGATGTCTTGAAAGTGACTCATTTGCACTAGACTTGGTGTGGTTGAGCTGTGTATTTTGATGAAGTGGAAAGTTTTGCTTTTTGAGTGCTTCTCCATGCTATTCATGTACAACCAAATCACAGTATCGCTGTTCCCTGCTGAAATGACTGACTTTGCTGGCATTGCAGTGAGATGAGACCAACTGCAGATTTACAGAAGCATCTCCTGAGTTCTGTCTGAATATCAGGTCATGATTTACAGGCAGGTCTTTGTTTCAGGGATTATTTCACTTCCAGTAAGCAATTCTTAGATACTTTGATTCACTGCTTGGAGGGTGAAGTATCCTTACGAATAGTCTGTATGTTTTAAGGCATGAATCTTCCACTTCAAAACTATGGTTCTATTTTTAAAACCTCCAAGACCAGTAAGTAATTTTGAAAATATGAACAATTCGTGTTAAGACTGCCTCTTCTTAGTAGTCTTCATCAATACGTGCTTCCATTTTGTTCTTGATATTGTTGGGCATTAAGATAAATCTATGAGATCAATTAGTGCAAGATACTCAAGTATTCAAGCTAATGTTTCTCAGGTTTCTTTAATGTATTCAACTGAGCCCAAATGTGCTGCCGTAATAAGACAGGGCGGTTACTGAATGGTTGTAAAAGTACCTTCCAGGTGCTTAATACTTGTAACTCAAAGCCAGGGTTCCAAACTCATGTATTATCATTTGCTGTTGATAGAAGTTCTCAGCAGCCTCCTTCTACTTGGCAGGAAAACAGTTTGACCATCTGGCAGTAGCTCTCATATATGGATAGAACTGTTGTCCAGACCTTGAAGATTTGAGAGGAGAAATCAGTAGGAATCATCAACTAATGTGCAGCTCTTTGTCATATAGGGAATTGTAAGCTAAATGACTTGCACTGATTTATCCAACTTCTGTTAAATATGGTTTTATCCAGCTTCTATTAAATATAGTTGCTGTCGTTTTTAATTTTCAGGTGATAGTCTAAAGTTTGATTCAGTAGTTGAGTTGATACTTTCAGTCATCTCTTCTTTCAGATGGCCATTGACCTAATTTGCTACTTCACTGTAGCTGTGTGGCCTTACAAAGCATTGCCTCCTGGCCCTTGAAAATTTTAATGTAAGCAGAGGAGTACAAGTTCACAATCTACAGAAAGAAAATCGTTTCTCAAAAATCTTGCTTCCAGTTTCTTTCTTGTTTAAGAGCAGTGATATAAATCTTGTTCAGTTTGATGAAAACACCTAAACTGTCTTAAATGCTAGAATGAAGAGAAATGAGATGACTTGAATAGTGCCAGTTAGCTTTTGTAAATCTCAGGACTATGTATTAAAAACTTCAGAATAAACCCAAATATTTTCAGAAAAGGTGAATATGGAAAAATACTTTCCATTTTGTAGGTCTTAATGCTCAAGCTGAAATGAGACTTCATGGATTCCACAGGAATGTATGTTACTTTTTATCCACAGGATAATTCCTGTAATTTGTTCTCTGATCCCCCAGTTACTAAACCACAAAAGTGCAGAAATGTGCTATTTCCTTGAGTTACTGATTTTCGCTCAATGTGAGACTATTTAGCCAGAATATTTGACTCTCTATCAAGAACTTAACTAGTATTTAATTACAACAGTTCTCTACACTCAAGCTTGGGAAGGCTAAAGCCCTGTTATTTCAGAAGGCAGAAGGTCCATGTAACTCTTACGTGTATGTTTACTGTCTTTACTGTACGTTGAGTCAACAAATCAAGATATTTTTAACCTGTTCAGCAGAGGCTTATGGTGTATCATAAACAAAATACTTTGAATAGTTTGGATTTTAATCCAAGTAGGAAGCATGGAGTTGAATGATTCTTGTTTTGCATTGGACTTTCTTAAAGGTTGAATCTTCTTGGTGAGAGTTAAGACACTGAGTACACCCCACTAACCAACACTATCCAATAGGAATGCATACATATTAGGCATTTCGCATGGCTTATTAGATGTAATATATTTTTAAGTATTTTATTAGGTTTTTGATTTTGCTACTTGTAGTATATGTTTTTAAAAGTCTACATTGTGGAAAAAGCTTAATCTAAGAACATATAAAGATTACACTTTTATTTTAGGCTTGGCTCAACAGTGGCAAAAGAAGTGCCAACTGTGTGCCCCAGATGTAGAAAAATTCATCCCCATCAAAATTTAGGCTTTCTGACATAACAGAAGGTTAGAATTGCAGGGAGAAAGCAATTATATTCTTAAAGCTCTAGTCTGTGTCTTTGGTTACTCAGGATTTTTAGTTACTACAGTCATGTTTCATGTAGATGGAAAAAGGTTATCCATTAACCTCAGAACATCTGCAGATCATTCATGGGTTTGGTTTCTTAAAAGTGAACAATTATTGGATAAAGCAGTCAATTTTATCGCCCCAGCCACCTTAAATGTGATACCATTAAATGGCAAACAGGGTACACTGCAAAACGTGGCTGATATCTATGGAGGCAGGTCCATTTCTGCAAGAGGAAGGAAATCCAGAAACAAGGAGGAAGAGGTATGCTTGCTGCATGCTTCCCACTTTGCTCATCACACAAATGGCACTATTTTGACCCTAACTGTGGCTAGTTTCCCTGCATGGTTCATCTGTGTAACAAAATAAAAGGACTTTATAAATTCCTAGGAAATAATTTACTGTGTAAAGTGCTACAGTTTGGATGTGTTTGTTGTTGTGTGGGGGTTTTTTTAATAATCAAAATAATAGTTATCTACATCACTTTATTTCAGAGGTTTTTGAATGTGCATAAATATAGATATGAGTCTGTATATCTTAGTCCTGTTGTGATAAGTATAACAATTTTAGCTTTCAATGACATAAAATGTAATGAAAGCTTAATATTGAGCAACGTACATTCCAGTTTATTTTCACTAGATGAGAGTTTTTCTAGAGATTAGTAAATCCTGATACAGTAATAGTAATAGTGTTGGTAGTTTTTTTTCATCCATCTTATTTTCTTGTGGAATATTATATATTTTAAATTAACTATAGTGGAGACAGTTTCAGTAGAACTGAAGTTTATTTTCTTTCTTTGCCTTAGGAGTACTTGGCAAGATTAAGACAGATCCGGCTACAAAACTTCAATGAACGTCAACAGATTAGAGCAAAACTTCGTGGAGAGAAGGTTAGTTTGAAGAATAATCTTAAATACTTGAGGAAATTGGTTGTGGTATGTATTCTTTTATCCCTGTGGGAAGACTTTTCTCATAATCAGTTTATATGTAGAGAAGTATCTTTGACATTTAATTCTTTCCACAGTTCGTGAACTTCCATCTTCCAGAATATGCAGCTTCAGTGCCTGTAAGCTAACAATGTTTTAAAAACAAGACGACAAGTTACATCTCAGTTTGATACGTAAATTTCTCAACATGCACTAGAATGTTTATATTTGTTTGAGTTTGGTTATAGCAGCTTCTCCAGAATTCAGTTTTTGACAGTGCTTACACGGAATATGCATAGTGTGTATAAAAGTTGGAAATCACTGGCATAAGCTCGGTTTGAATCAATACACCTTTTTTAAACATAACTTTTCCAAAATATGTTTGTAATACAACAAAACCAAAATAATATGTTCTTGATATAGATCCAGAATGAACACTCCTTAAGGTGTCAAATGAATAATCCAAGGCACACAATCCATTTACTTGTTTAAAAAAAGTTTCATATGAGAGGCAATCTATGTTGTAAATAAGTTCTGGAGTTTGTTTCCATCTTGTCATTAACCTACTGGGTGGTCTTGTAGTCCTGTCTGTTCTTCCCCTTTCTGTCCCTTTGTCTTAATAGAGTGAGTTTCTTCAAGTGATTACCTGTTTATATACTCACATTGTTTAAAATCAGAGAAATGTTTCTGGCCTGTCTCACCCTTTCAGACTCCATAGTAGGTATATTTCAGGCATCTTAGGTCTAGTGAGTGAACATACAAGGCAAGAGCATGCCCGCTGTCACAAGTTTTCCTTGGACCACCTTCCCAGCTAAACAGAGTTCTATGCTCTAGCTTTTGGGTTCTTTTTTCTTAATGCTGAAGTACTACTATTTTTTTTAACCTTTTTTCTATATTAGTTACTTCCTTTGAATTGTTTTATTTATTTTGTTTAACCTTGATTGTGTCTCTGGTGAGACAAAAGAGAGACAAATTCAATCTCTTGATTGAGGTGCAAAACTTGAGTGCATTGAAGAGGAACCTGTGCCCCTTTAAATCTAAAATGGATGATGCAGAGCAGAAGTTAGGTATGTTTCTATCTGAGACAACTTTATAAGATGTGCTAGTGACTAAGTCTGGCATGGGACCAACAAACCTAAGTTTGTCTTAAGGGGTATGAGGAAAATCAAGGTCTTGTGAGTCTATAAAGTTGCTGTAGGGGCTGGTCAGAGACGTTTATCAGTAGTGCTGACTCATAAAATGTGAAGTTGCTGCACCATAGGCCTATGCTTTCTTAATTATATCTGGTGCTAATTTCACTCATAGCTTTTGTCTTCTCTGGGCTTCAAAACTGCTGCAGTGGGGCTAGTCATCTCCACACGCAGCCCTACAAAATCTTACTGTGTATCCTCAGTACTCTTAAAATACTGACAACAGTGCTAAAATGTTACTAAGTGCAGAGCCATTGCTGTGCTGTTCCTTTCAGTTTGTTTCACTGAGCAACTTCAGTACTTCCTTTCAAAATTAGGACCATCCATGCTTTACCTGCAATATGGTTAAATGCAGAAGTAAACCTTTTCTCTAGAGGCCAAGGCTGCTTGTGCTAGTAAAACCAAACAAAAGTAGTTAGGGTGACCATGACATTAATTCTCTGTATGGATTGTTAGGCGCATTAGGAATCTAACTTCTTTTCCTAGTGGCTGTGCCTTAACTGGAGCAGTGCTATATGCCTCAGGGGGTATGGCAGCTACAAACACAGAATAGATCAATATTTTTTCCAGGAAGTAGGGCTAAACTAATTTTCAGAATTCAGAGATGAAGTCTTAAGATGCTTTTTCTTGATGACCTCTGATGCAAACTTGGTGTGGAGGTTCTTCTTCTGGAGGAATGCCATTTCAGACCAAATCTTGTCACTGATATGTTTATTTACTTATCTTAATTAAAAATTTTATGCCTATCACTACTGCATAATATCCTATACTGCGTAATATCCTATTTTATGCACTATAGATGGATAGATATATTAATTTGTTTGCCTGTGAAGAGTGTCAGATTATTTTTCTAAGGTTTTCCATCTCTAGTGTTCTTTCTAGTTGTACTTTCACTTTAAAACTTACCTAAAATTCTTATCTGTGTCTTGCCAAATTCTTTCTAATTATATTATTTTTCTTATACTGCAAGTAGCCTACTAAATAGGCCTTTTAAATAGTTCATTTTAACTACAAGATCTGCACAAGTTGGTCACGAACAATAAAATACTCCAATCAGAAAGTTTTTGCATAGCTCTGTTGGTCTTCTGTAAATAGAAATATGCAGAGACCGTGGAAAGAAGTAAGAGAGATTGAAGCCCAGAGATTTCAGGGGTAGACATTAATATATTCTTACTTGTTACCATTTGCCCCCGCAAGCCGGTTGCAACTTATTTGGAGCACATGCAGTGGAAGAAACTGGAACTCTAGAGCATCAAACATTCATTGTATACCTTACCTGCACAGTATGTGACAGTGATAAGGGGAGGCAGGTGAAAGCTCAGGTTTTTTGGGTCACTTCCCTTGCAACAATAGGCACATTACTTTTCTTCCTGGCTTGCAACAGCTTCGTGTCTTTTAAAATTAAAACCAAACCAAACAAAAACAACACCAAAAAAACCAACACAAAAAGAACCCAAACCCAGCCAACCAACCACAAACCCCTGCAAATCTCAAAGATGAAATTTTGTCCAAGTAAGCATTACATTTGAATGAGTTACCTAGTGAAGTTATGACTCGTATTAGTCATACAGTCAGTCTAAATGATCCAAGTAGTCACTTAAGTCATGTACCTTTTAAATACATGAATTAATGTTAATTCTCTAAGAACTCTTACTTTGCAGAATGAAGCTGCCAATTCTGATGGTCAAGAATCAAGCGAGGAAGCAGAACTGAAACGCAAAAAGATAGAAGTGCAGAAGGTAATTGTGGGAAGGGAGGAGATGGAACTTACTGTTTTCAGATATCTTTCATATCATGAAGTGTCTTACATTTCATTTTGCTATCAATACTTTGTTCACACACCCACAAGAAGAGGTTTTTATTTTAACCATACTGAGGTAACAACTCTGTTTTATCTCAGTAATTTTAAAGTAAATTGTGACATAGCATAGCAAGACAAGGATTTTTCTTACTGCTACCTTTGACATGTATTTCTAGGTTAGCTTTAGACCCAAAGGCAATTTGGTATCACTAAAATACCGTTTTGCCTTATCTTAAAACTAGAAGTGAAACAGCAACTGAAGCTTTCTGTGTTTATGTTGAGTAAGTTTGTAAAGTTTAAACTGAATATTTCGTGATTAATGCATTTGGCTTCAAATTTAGAGATTCTAATTTTACACTGCTGTTTAAGATTACTACATACACTAAAAATATAAGCATACAAATCAAGAACTGTAAATTTTGAGGAGCTGCCATTACTTTCAACATAGAAGATCAGTTATTATACTTATGTGGTGATTTTGATTGTCAGTGGAGTCTTCCCTTCAGAGTTATACAGTAATAAGTGAGAGAAAGGAATATGAAGTAATCCAAAATATTTCTTTTTAAAATGTTTAACGGAATGGCGTACTAATGCTTTTTATGATTTTAAGTTGGTCTTTGGTTGGCTTTTTTACTGTAGGCCCAAGCAAATGCTCGAGCTGCAGTTCTGAAAGAACAGTTAGAGCGAAAGAGAAAGGAAGCGTATGAAAGAGAGAGAAGAGCCTGGGAAGAACATGTAAGAAAATGAATCTGTTACATATGCCCAAAGTATGGAGCGCTGTCTTTGCATAACTAAAATCCTATGCTGTGATTTTTCAGGCTTAGATAATTTTGTCTTCTGAAACTGAGGAGAGCATCTGTCAGCCAGAATTCCCTCATTAGAAGCCTAATCTTAGGTATACTTGAGTGAAGAATTTGGTTGAAAAGTTTAAGAACATCATAGCTAAGCATTATTAAGATCACCTTAAGTATCTTATTAATGATCTGTAACTTACTAGACTGTACTTAATCTTCTTTTGCTTCTGTGTGCAGTGGAGTGACAAGTCCAGCTAGTTATATATTGCTACAAAACCCAGAATGTTCTGAAGCTGATAAGCGGGAAGTAGCTCACGTATGCAGTTGTATTACTGTCCTTTTCTAAGGTTTACAGGAGCTTAATTGATAATACTGTGTTTAATGTGCAAAGTTTTAATTAGACTTTTTTTGTTGTTTTTAATTTGAATCCATACAGCTAATAGCGAAAGGGGTAAAGAATCCTAATGTGCCTTTTAACGTGGGAGCTACAGAACACAGTCCTGTGCATGGACCACAAGAGCTTGGAGCAGCTCTTCCTAAGCCACAGCTTCCAATGAAGCCCAGTACACCCAGTACACCAGTCATCTCCATGACTTCTGCTTTGAAGGAAGTGGGTGTGGTAGGTACTTTTGCTAAGAGCTTGAAATTAATGATAAAAAACCAATAAAAGCTGATTTGAAAAAGGATTTTTAGAAGAATGAGTAGAAGAGAGGAAAAAATCATTAAGGATGCTTGTTGCTCATAATTAAGGAAAGGGAAAAAAATAAAGTGAAAAGAAACCAAAACTTGGGAGCTGTTGAAATACATCTGTGCGCTGAAACTCAAACTCAGTCAGTTTTGAACAAAATGGCTTATGAACGCCAGGCTGCAAGTTCAGTTTTGATCAAGGCAGTCATGATTAGTGGAAGAAGACATCAACTAACCAGCATTTTCATCAGCCTCTTCAAGTGGGAAGTTAAGGAGTTTGTAGCCTGATGGAAGTGAGAAAATTAATTTTGAGCAATAGGACTATTCATTCTTGTTTGCAGTGAGTTTGAAAGTATATGCTGAATAGAAGAGAGAATATAAAGTTGAAGATACTTGAATCTAATAGTGTTGTCTCTTGTTGTCTATAATAGTATTAGAAGCTTCCTAATTTCTATCTTCTGTGATCTTGGGTCCTGATACTGTAAATGCTCACACGTGTACCTCGACTACCACCATTTGATTTAAGTAACATTTGTGAAACTAAACATATGAATGAGTTATTGCACAATTTGAGTTTTCAGCAGAACCTGTGTTAATTTGAATGCTAACTTTAGTGGGTTTTCCTAATCTGTTTCTGGATTTCAGTGGGATTATATACTCTGTACAACCCTGCAGGTCTTGACCATAGGGAATATAGTGAAACTTAATGCTACGTACTGTACGTAAAATGTAATACACTGAAATATGTTGGTTGATAGATCGAAAAATATACAAATTGTTTTGACAAATACTTAAATCATTGCCTTTTTTTTTCCACATGGATAGTTTGTCTTAGACTAGTACAAGATGGTAACTGTGACTGACAAAAAGTAAGCACCTGGAGCAATAAGAATTGGACAAGATGAGCCTTGTACACAAAGATTATAAGTTCTACGTTTTTGCCTTCAATATTTAGTTTGATTATTTTATATATCACTGAAGTTGTCTCTTCTTCCTTCTACTTTTCTTTACAGGTGCTCCTTGACTCTGTCCTCACAACTTTTTTTTTACTCATTTCTAGCATTGGCATTGGGTAGCATTTTCCTGTAGAGGTCATGTCTAGCTTTATCTCTACGTGTTTTGTGCTCTGGACTTTCACTTGTCTGCTTAAACTGTGTCTGATTTGTTGCTCACCACTGTCAGTGAACAGTTCAAAGATGGAAGCTGCCCTTGAAACTCTTGTGTTTAGGAAGCCCCATAAAAACAGAAATATCACACATTCTGTTTCAGTCTGTCTGCAGTTGTCATTTAAAAGGTTTTAAAGGTGATTTTTCATTATTACATCTGTTAATATTCTCAAGATTATTTTTTTCTGACATACTCTTCTACATTGTGTTTCTTGCTTCTTGGACATAAAGGAAGAAAATGTAACTGCTATCCATGAAGCTGAGGAGGAAATAAAAAAGCCAGATGTTGCAATGCAAGTATGTCGTCTTGTATTCAGTTTCATCGATTTTCTTTTAAGAAAGGTACTATTCTGCCTTTCTTAAGGTAAAATACCATTGCCTTTACCAATATATATTGGCTCTTATTTTAGAATAAAAGAGAAATACTGAGAAGATTAAATCAAAATCTTAAAGCTCAAGAAGATGAAAAAGGGAAAAAGGAGTATAAAGATACCTCTGAATCAGCTGGGTCTGAAGATGGTAAGGAGCAACAAGGCGGCGACCATCCACTTCTAGGAGATCGCAAGAAATGGGAATCTGCAGCGTCTGAGTTGGTGGTTCCTCTAGCTCAGTTATCAATGGAAGATTCTCTCTCTGGAACAGACCGTAAGTGCTTTTTTTTTTTTTCCTTTTGTTACAGTGATATTAGTAGGTCAGTTCACCACATGTAGTGTCTGTTTTTGTAAAGCAAGTACTCTTTATTACTATTGTCTTGTTATCAGTTTTGTGTCATCTGCTTCTAAAAAACAGGTGGTTATGTATTCCCTTGGATAAGTAATAAGATAATTAAATGGACTGCAGGAGATCCAACAAATAATTTCTGAATTTCAGCAAATAGTTACTTAACTAAATGCATGGTTCCTTTCTTTGAACTTTCTCTGTGAGTGTCTTTAAAAAGGCACTAGTTTAACAGAAAGAATAAAAAGTACTTAAGATCTATGAAAGTTTCTCATTTGACTTAAATCCTTTTATATTATCTGTAGAACAATAAAAACTGAGGGTTTTCTCAGTTTACTTCTGTTAATTTTACTGTGTCCTGTTTAACTTTTTCCTTTTTTTTAATCAAAATTGTCTATTCAAATTTTCTACCTGCCTTCTCTTGTATTTTGGGTGACAGACCTTTTTCCCTGTTTCTGTGTGTCTTATCAAGGGTGTATTCCACATTGTAGAAAGAAAAAATCATTGAGAATGTGACAGACTTACTTCATACATACACAGCTAGGATGTTTGAAGACCAAGAAACTTACTCTTTTCCTCTGTTCTTCTTTGTTGCTTTATATCCTCTGTTTTTCTTGGAGAAAGAAATAACAGAAACAAATATCAAAGGATAGCAGAACAAGAGACTGTCTAGTTTCCCATTTCAGGTAAAAATAAGACCACTCATGCCAGTTTAAAACATTTTTTCATACTGTTTGCTTTTGGAGTGCTGGAATTGCTGAAAAGATCTGCTATTAATTTGCAGATGTTAACTGGCATTGAATAACTCCTATTATTAAATGGAATTGGCAGAAGAAAGACTCTGGACTTTAGGGCACAGTCTTTAAGCCATCGAACTTGGAGTGAGGTGACATGAGTTCTGGCTTTGTAATTCTTAGTTTTGTGGAGGTTGGTTGGTTGTTTATTATATAGAAAGTGAACAAAAGATTCTAATTTCTAATAGTATCTGTATTTCTGTTTGCATCCCAACAGGTCAAACTCTGGGGGAAGTAATTAAGTTAGATATTGGCGAACCTCACAGGAAAGTGTGGGGCAAAAGCCCTACTGATTCAGTCTTGAAGATCCTAGGAGAAGCAGAGTTGCAGCTGCAAACTGACTTACTTGAGGAACTAGACGTAGTAAATGGTGAGCACAGCTGGTAATTATCTGCACTGCAAAGTGTAGGAAATGCCAGATGGCCAGTTTGTCTACTGAGAACAATTTTGAAGTCATAGAAGCATATATTCTATCCTCACTTTTGCTTTCCACTTCTGGGTGTTGCCTCAGTTCTAAATGTTTGAAATGTCAGCACAAACTGATGCTGGTGGACACCAAAATACTTCAGACTTAGTGGTATTAAACTTAGAGGGACGTGCTGAAAGGGAAGGATCTTATTGGGGTGGTTTTTTTTTTAAGTCTCAGACTCTGCTTATTGATAGAAACAAGTCTGTTTTTAAAAAGGGTGTCACCAACTGAATAGTGTATTAGATAGGTCCTATAGCCTTCTTGTTAGTATGAGACCAACCATATCAGGGGATTTTGTCTGGTCAGCTGTTGCTTTTTTTTCTGCCCTTTCCAAGAAAAAAAGGACTTTACCATTACTACTAACTTATACTTGGAATAAATGTTATGTAGCAAGTAGAATTCAGTTAATATTTCTAGCTTTTCATAGTAGTTATAATAAGACTTTTCCATTCTGTTTTCCTTTAAAGAAACAAAAATTCTCAACTTACCTTGTAGCCACGTTGTAGTTTATTATCAAACTGTGTCAAAGCACTGTTCAAATAATAGACTAATTCTGTGTTAGGTACTGGAGAAGTTCTTGAAGGAGATCACCAGTCCTCATCAGAGAAGGAAGAGAAAGCTTCTGCTGCTGCTGGAGCTCAGTCTTCAGTGCCAGTTGGTGTCACAGAGGCTGACGTGACTATACCAGAAGAATCTCAACGAGCTGGACCTACTCAGATGCAAAGCAAACCTCTTATGCTAGACGGTAAGTAATTTCAGTAGTAATTCTAATTACAATCTGTTTTCCAATTCAGTGAGGGAAGTAATGATTCTGTATATTTTATATCTTCCCATAAGTAATGTGCAATTCTTTCTTAACACCTTTTAGGTAAGACCAAGTGCTTTCCATGCCTGTGTTGTAATTTGATTTGCTAATATATTTTGTAAATTCCTAGAAACATTTTTTATGTATTTGTAGAAAACTCTCTAGAATACAAGTGGAATTCTAAAATCCTTCAAATTGTTGGATTTTTGTTTGTTTCTCCTCATCAGCTGTGCTGGAATCTTTTCCTCTGCATGCTACCAGCACCCTGCTGACACATCAGGGAATGTTACTGAGGTTTTTAGAAGACTTAGTTCATTGGAGCTTGAACATACTTTCCTTGTATCAGAAATAAACTTTTAGCTCTGGGGTTACAAAACTTTGGTTGTTTCTGAAAAATGCAGAAAATTATTAAAGCTGAAGGGTTTAAGTGTAATCTTAATATGTATAGTCTCTCTTGTCTTCTTGTTTGTTTTTGTTTGTTTTGGATTCATTTTTAATGAGGTGTATGACTTAAATTTAGAGCCTGATGATTTGGAAGCAGAGATGTTGGAAGAAACAGAAGATAAAAAGCACCAGAGTAAGAACAGGAAGGAATTTCCAATCACTGTTAATGAAGTGTGGGTAAAAGAGAAAGAGGATAAGTAAGTACACTTTTCTACTGATTCCTCTCTCCAGTTCAGACAACTAGCCTTAATCTAGTAGGGCTTAGATACACCAGTTAAAATGTTAAGCTTAGCTAAAGCTTCGTTGCTTGTCTGCCATATTAGTTTTACTGTAGACTAATGACTATTTTTACATGGTGTTTCCTATGGATGTGGTATCTTATAATAGGGCACAACATTACAGAAAACCTGAGGCACCTTCTGAGAAACTAGTGCCTGATGAGGTGCAACCACAAAGGGAAGCTCCAGAAGGTCAGTCAAAGTCTGTTTTGTTTTGTGCTTGAACCATCCTATCTCACTTCTTCACTAGCCCCAAAAGAGCAAGTATTCCATTTTCATTTTCTTTTTTAGTTCATACTTCTAAAAAGCAAATTTCTGATGTATTAGGAAGACAAAATTGCAGGTGTTGTTCTTGCCGCTTGCAAAGAAAACATACAACAGCAGAGCTACACCATGTATAGATGAACAGGACAGTAACAGGACAGTGGTCCACACTGATACTTGAAAGGGAATGTCAAGTTTCTGAATGTTGCAACCTTTTAAAATGTCTATTTTAAACTATTTTAAACTATTTTATATTTAAACTATTTTAAATGTTACAAAATCTGATTATTTACTTTAAAATGCTACTTTGTTTATAGACATCTCAAATTAATATGCAGCTTGGATAAAAATTGTTTTAAGCAGCTGCTAATGATAATCCTTTATCTATAGCATAGAAGAACTTCTTGCTCTTGGAGGTCTTTGAAGTAACTTCAGAAGATCTGCGTATTTTAGAGTAGAATAGAAAATACACCTGCAATACTGTCAAGTGTTATTAGTGATACTATTGCATCTATTTATGGTTGGCTTATGCAAATTGAGGCTTTCTTCCTTTGGGCAAATTATGTTGAGGCAGCTTTGAAGAAATTTGGTACAAGGCAAGAAGCAACAGATGAAAATGGATGGTACTATTATTTCAGGCATGGACTGGATAGTGAGAAACTAGAAGGCATGAGAACAGAGGAGGCTATTGCTGAGGGCTGTATATTATCAGAAAGTTAAAATGGAAAAATTTCACAGTATAATATGTGTACTAAAATAATCCAAAGAGATTTCAATACTTCTACAGTGCTTTCTATTTTTCGCTTTAACTGTACAACAGAAATAATTAATTTTATTCCCTTTAGTTAACTTCTGCTTAAACGCTTGGGGCTTTTATTCTGTTAGGATTTGTAACAAACTTTCTTGTATCACTTCAGGAACTTGTTCCAGTGATCCTCTGCAACCTGAACCCTTATTCCAGAGGGTAATACAGCCCACAGCTGTGCCAAGAGCTTCACCAGTTCTGTCGGCTCAGTCTTCACAGGAGGAGCCTTTTGTACCTCGTTCACGTTCCATATCACCAGCAAAAACTAAAGGCAAAAGTTCATTGTTAATTGGACTTTCTACAGGGCTTTTTGATGCAAATGACCCAAAGGCAAGTTTAAAAGACTAAAAAGGAGTACTTGTTTTTCTATAGTGATATCATTCTTATTTTCTTATTGAGGCTGAATGAGGCCAGAACAGATGCCTAACTGTTGGAGCAAGTGTTTGTATTTGTCTAGCCCTGCCTGCCCTGCAGAGTGACTGCACCGTGTTCCTTGCATCAGCAGCACTTGGGCAGCAGTGAGGGTCTCTGGTTTCACCATTCTGTGTTCAGGTGTTTATGCAGGAATTCCAGCACTTCGCTCAAACATAACTGAGGGAGTTCCATGAGGAAGTTCTTAACTTTCCTTGACTGCTTTCTTGCTTTTGTACAGTTTTTCAGACTTACTGCTTCTTTGCCTTCATAAACACAAATGCGGACCAGAGCAGCAGAGGTACCTTGTCATTTCTGGTGACCAAGTGTTTTGGTTTTTTTCCTCTAGGATTTAACCAACTAGCACAGGTTTTGGCTGTGAAGCTGGAAGACTGCAGAAGAGTGAATGGAACTAAGTCCTTTCTTGAAGGCATATGTTTTGGTCCATAAGTGTTTATTTCAGAGTTGTTAATGCGGTACCAGACGAGCTCTAGATAATAGCAGAGAACTTGGAAAAAAGCGACCGATGTGGTGGTGTTACTGCTCAGTAGATTTGATGAAAGAAAGCAACAAATTCCCTTCCCGCATTTGATTGCATCAAGCAAACATTCAGTACTGCTTTGCAATATCTGCAAATGTAACTTTTTGGAATTTTCCAAATATTCCTCTGCTGCAGCTCTTGCCCAGAAGCTAAGGAAAACATTGGCAGGGAGCAGGGCAGAGAGAGTTAGTGTCCTGTCTGTAGGCAGGTCTGTATGCTAACAGGAGGAGGCTAATAGGAAAAGAAGCATTTTTCAAAACACCTGGAAACTTTCAGATGGGGTAGTCAGCCTTCTGATTGTTCCTTCACTTTGGTAGTAGCAGTCAAAAAGGGTGGTTACTCCTTCGATGGCAATAATATTCTGGCCGTATGCTGACAGAGAATTGATATTTGAGCATGTATTTGTATACAGTGTTCTGGTATAAATTGCACCTGAGGAACTGTTTCTTTTCATTAAATTTTAGAGATTTTCAGTAGGAGCAAACACGTAACATACATGTATTTAGAGCTCTGTTGAAGGAATATGAGGCTTGTTGGTAAAACATCTTAGTGCAGACTAGGTATTGTTTCTTGGTTTATTAATACTCTGGTGCATATTTAGTAATTTTCTGGGGTTCTTAAACTTCTTAAAATAGAGATCTGGTAGATCACTGAGCGGACAGTTACTTTGTTTCCATGTTGCTTTATTTCCATTGCAATATCTGTTGTAATTTGAACCTCTTTCTAACGCTGCTTGTAATGAACTTATTTCTAAAACTATGGAACTGCCTTGAAATATGCCATAAACAAATGTTACTGTTTTCAGTGACCAAACACAGAGAAAGAGTAAAATGTCAGTTTAGAAAATACTCCTTTGTTAGCTATTTAAATTGGTTCTAAGCTGTAAGTGATTAACATACATACATACATTGTAAACAGTTGCATATAATTTATCTACTGCAATGTTCCTTCTCGTTAGTCATCAAGGTAATAAACAAATTGGGACAAAACCAGGATCTGTATGTCAGCTGATGTTTGTAAAAGCTTTTCAATTACTCTTAACTTGTAAAGGCAGAAAGAATGGTTTCCTTTTAGCTGAGATACAAACTTCAAGATGTCAAATTTTCAACAATTGGAGTATCTGTGCTAGACACATTGTTATTCTGAAATTGCCCTTCAAATGAAAAACGACCAAACAAATCCCAGTTTGAAGTATTTTGTAACCTCTGACTGTCTTTAGTACTGCAACCAAACAGGCTTTCTCTTACCTTTGCAGATGTTAAGAACATGTTCACTTCCAGATCTTTATAAACTGTACAGAACTTTAGTTGATGTTCCCAGTGTAGCTGATGTGCAGCATCAACACAGTCTTGAAATAGATACGGAAGATGAGCAAGCCAAAGAAGGACCCTCGGACTCTGAGGATATGTGAGTATATCAAGTTTAGCAAGTATTTCAACAGGCATTTTAGATCAAGAATAGTTTTGGTTAGACACTTACAATTATACCCAGTATACCAGCATGGGGCTTTTACCTGAATTTGAAAAATTCTGTCTGGAATCACCATTTGCTTTGAGTCATGTTCCAGAGAATTGAGAAGCTAATGGGGGGTACTGTTTACGGCAGCTGTCTGAATTGCCTTTTGAAAAGCCATCCAAAACGCTATTCTGCCTGGCTTCTGCACGTTGCGTTCTCCTGAAGCAGATCAAATTTGATGGCCACCACTTTTATAGAAATAAAGATTCTTAAATATTTCCTGTCTTGGTATGTTCTGGTAATCTCACTCATCTATCTTCTCTGCTGTTGTATTGGGATGTCCTTCAAGTCCCACAAATTCTTTCAAAATTCGACCCTGGCTCTTGCCTGCAGCTTGGCTAGTCTGCAGGGATGAAACTATCTGGTGTATCTATTCTTACTTTTTATCTAGATTGGAAAAGCTGTAGTTGCCACGGTTCTGTAAGACTGCATGAATGCAAAGATTTTGAAATTACCTTACTAATAAAGTTGATTTGAGGTCCTATCAGCATCATCATATTTTTATGAAATGGTCTGGTATTTGCTTAGCTAATTTTTATTCCCTTTGTCTTGCATGATATAGTGGTGTCAGTGCTGTAATCATGTTGGACTGAGGACATAAATATTTGAATCATGTTGGACTGAGGACACAAATATTTGTCTCTTCACCCCCCGCCCCCCCTTTCCCTTCCAGCCACATTGGCTTTCCAGTTTGTTCGCTTAACAAAAGAAATAAGCTCGTTCTACAGGGTATGTCTTGTAAAGGATTAATTCTAAAATTATATATCAATTTCTTTTAGTCTGTTTGTGGAGGCAGATACAGATTTGCAGGAACTCCGGGCCTCAATGGAACAATTGCTTAGGGAGCAGCCTAGTGAGGAATTCAGTGAAGAGGAGGAGTCTACTTTAAAGGCCAATGTCATTGAATGCGTAACAAATGGTACAGAGCTGGATGAAGGAGATGAAAATAACCCCAGCAGTGAAAGTGCACTTAATGAAGAATGGCAGTCAGGTACAATTTCTGTTATGCCTGTTTTATAAGTTATTTATTGATGTTAACAATTAAAACATATAATAATGTTTTTACATTGTATACTTATAATGAAACAAAGCTCTAATTAATAGTTTTTGTACAGGAGTCTAAAAAATCAGATAATATGTAGGCTTCCTGAATGTTAAGATCAGCATCTAAGCAACAGTCAATGTTGCAAATTAAATGCTGGCTATTTGTTAGGCAGTGATTATAAGTCACTCTTTTTCTAGCTGTCTAAAACTTGTGTTCAGGGAAGATCAAAGACTGTGCACATCATATGTTTTGAATAATTCATGACTGCAATGAAAGACTGAAAAAGAAATAGCAATTGACATCACTGGAGTATCTGGGATCCAGCTTACATTACAATTAAGTAATTTAAGAGGCAGTTGTTAACCTTGTCCTTAGCCCAAAATAGCTATTAATGCTGTCAAACTAAAATGAGACAGAAAAATTTCTTACTGCTTTTAGCATTTAATATTAGCTCTACATAATGGTATCTTGAAGTCACAGTTCTATTTTTTTTAAATTCTGGTTGATATATCAAGTATTTTACTACTGTTGTAAAATAGTGAGCATGTAGAAATGTAGGTATAAAAAGATTAAAAAAACAATAACTAATCTAAAGCACAGCTTTTGTGTAACTTTTGTTTATTGAAGACAAACAAATTGGAAATCTGGAATATACCTGTAATATATGATCTATATAATACATTCCAAGATGTATCTTAAGGTAGACTAAGCCTAGGTAATCCCATCTTCTGTCATTTCTTGTGACAACACTGATGTTATACACTGATAACATACAGTACTGTCCGCTTCTGTGATTCTGTTGTTGCAAGCATCACGGTATTTGGTGTCAGTGTCTCACCTTCTCGATCCATGGTACTGCATCAGAATTGCAGGTTTCATTGTTGGGGCGGGAGGAAGGCCTTCAAAACTCTGGGGAGCAGGTGGAACTTGAAAACAAATCGATTAAAGGATTTAGAAGTTTCATCTGTACAGGATTAGAAGTCAACTAATGAGTTTTTAACCCATATACAACTTCAATGATATCTTTTTATTTGATGCGACTGTTGATACAGGATTTTGTCAGGATTATACCTTACATTAGTCATGTATAGGAACTGAAAGTAGTAGAGTTCTGATACTAACTCACAAAATCTGTGACCTACCGGGTAATATTTGTTTTTTAAGGATGTAATAATATAAGCCCTGAAATCTAAAAAGTTGTCTGTTTTTCCCTGGGTAGATAACTCCTTTCATAATTCAAGTATTTATTAAGGGAAGTATTTTTCCTGGCCAAAAGCAGTTTGCATTTTATGATAGGATTTTACATAGGGATTCTATCTTATACTTTTAAATAGATCGTTTTTTTGGTAAACTTACCTAGTGTTTGACTGTTACAAATCTATTTGTAAGGTTTCTGTAGCCTATAAGCAAAATCATCTTGATTTCTCTCACGTACTGCATCGATAGGCATACTGAATTTTCTACGCAAAGGAGATGTGTTCATAAAAGAATGAGGGACTTCGTAGCTAAATTAGTACTGCGTTCTTTTAGACTTCCTCCACGGAATGAGATGCATCTCAGTGCAGAAATTAAATAACTGATTCTTAATGTACACGTCCTTATTTTCTGCTAGATGACAGCTTCTTCATTAGGGAGCTCTTTTCCCTAGCGTGGGACAGCTGCTGACCCCTGCAGCAGTTCCACCCCAGAAACGGGGGGGGATGGTTCAATGGAACTTGACCTACTAACATTGGGTTTTAGAGGAGAGGGCTAGAAGTTTCCCATTTGGGATTCAGAATTTCTTTGCTATCAAGAAAGGGACTGTTCTTGTTCCCTTGCAGGTTGTTCCAAACATCTGCCAACATGGCCTAGTGCTCCTGAGCTTACCTGCATTTTTTTAGAAGTCTATGGCTTTCAAGTTTAGAGACAGGGAAGCACCATTAGGACAGACAGAAAATTGAGAGGTTTTTACTGTTGTTTTGTTTCTTTATAGATAATAGTGATGGAGAGATTGCCAGTGAATGTGAAGAATGCGATAGTATCTTCAGCCATTTGGAAGAGCTGAGATACAACCTGGAGCAGGAAATAGGCTTTGATAAATTCATTGAAGTTTATGAGAAAATAAAGGTTTGTGGAATATTTTAACAGAAAAGTACCTAGGGCTGTTTACTGTGCCAGTAACTAATCATATTGTGTCACTAGAATCAATGCTTGTTTCTTTTGTCTTTTATCCTCGTTCGGTCCCCATGTGTTGCCTGATCTAGTTGAGAGGCGCCCCTGCCCATGACAAGGGAGGTTGGACTAGGTGATCTCTAAGGTCCTTTCCAGCCTAGGCCATCCTATGATTCTGTTTTGACATGCTAAAATATTAACAGGGAAAATACCATGCCACTGAATTCAAGAGGAAGACTGAGGGTTTAACCATGAATTGCATTTAATATATTTGAACTATTTCATTCTATGCCCATTTTAATTTTGGCAACATGAATTGTCCTTTCTCCCAGGCTATACATGAAGATGAAGACGAAAATATTGATATTTGTTCAACCATAGTTCACAATATTCTTGGAAACGAACACAAGCACCTGTATGCCAAAATCCTTCACCTAGTGATGGCAGATGGAGCCTACCAAGAAGGTAATCTCACTGGGTCCTGGCTTGTCTCACGTTCCTTCTTGGTCACAAACAATAAGTTCTAATATACTTTTAAAACATACCTGTGTTTTGTTGCATCAACTGGCTAAATTGATAAAGTTATATTTTATTCACAAGGGATATTTGTATTTCCGCAACAAAACATGGCAAACTTTGATTAAGCATGCAAACCCCCCGATTTAACAGGATGTACATATGCACTCAACTGCAACAAGAGTTGTCTTACGAAAGGTGCAGCATAATTATTCAATTTCTCTAAAACAATTACATGGATTGGGAAGATGGAAGGCTAGAACAATTTTTTTGTTAATTCTGAGAGAGATATCTTGAGAATTAGTGAATTTTTAGCTAAAATAATATTGTTCTTTCCAAAACCCTACTTTCAGTGGGTTGCAGTATCACTGCCTTTCTGAAAAGAAAATTTTCATGTGGCTCTTTATCAAAAATTGTTACTTCTGAGAAGAAATGGATGTGCAGGTACCATCTGTCTTAGTTTTCAGGTGGCTCAGTGATACATGAAGAGAGTTTCTCTCACTTGGGAGCCCTGCCTGGCTTAGCAGAGATGCTGAGGCACACAGAGTTCCTAGATCTTCCAGAGTCATGCTGTGAAATACCACAGAGACCACTATCAATGAGAAATGGCTTGGGGATTGTTTGGGGTTTTTTGTTCCTATCTCAAAAATTTAACTGCAGTTATGTGATTTTAGATTTCTAACGATGAAAGTCTTTACTGGAGAGAAAAATACAAACCTGAAATTTCAATTATTTTTAGAGAAATCAGAAGAAATATATATATATATATATAATGTGTGCAGTGATCACTAATGTATTTCAATTTTAAAAAAATACTCTAAGGCATGTTAACTAATGCATCTTTTAAATTCTTATACAAATACGTTGCAATAGCAGTGAGTAAAGGGTCAAATAAGATTACAGCTTTCTATGATTTTTAAATATAAATGCTGGGGGCAGGGAAAAGTCATAAAAAAAGAGTTCTAAAACCACAGTAATTAAAAAGAAGTGATACATATTACAGTTTGCCAGTTTTTCTTTGCTACTGATAGAGAACCCCTCAGTAAGAATGACCAGTACCATGCTGGTTTAATGCTATTTTATAGAAGTATGATAGAAATGTGACTGAAGAAATACTTTTTTTTTTTAATCACAAATTTACTGGTTTTATGATGGAATCGGAAGCATATATTGTAGCAGTTCCTTTTTCAAGTGGCCAAAGAACTGACAATATAGAACAAGAAGAAAATGGTAACTATAAGTGTTACCAATTTATTTTCCTTCCCACTTTCCCTTAAAGATATTTTAAAACTAGTGCTAAAAGGCTCAAATGACAATTTGCTGAAATGTTGGCATACAAATTGTAAGCTGTTGTCTGAGTGAATCCTCTTAAAATGATCCAGCTTTCATCTTGCAAACTGCTGATTAATAAGTGGCTATTTTTAACAGCTTCAGTTCTAATTCTGCATTTTACAAATCTGTGGTAGCATACAAAAATGTAAAAATAAGTAGTTCTTTATGTTTCAGACATTTAAAGTACATGTAGTACTTTAGTCCTAAGGTACATTTAAAGTAGTTCTTTAAATTTCAGACATTTAAAGAAAAAATCCTATGCTAATAAAGGTGAAGAGACGACAAGTGACAGAAGCACGTTTGTGAGCTGCTGTGTCAAAAGTTTTATACTCTTCATATAAGACAAGTTAAAAAATTTTGTATTGCTCTTTATGGAGAGGATTGTTCTAACTGCAGCAGGCAACTTGAGATGAAACTGTCTTAAATTCACTAATGCAAGAAAGATGACCTGGTCTTCAGTATTTGTACACCATGTATTCAAGGCAGTTTTGCTAACAGTCCCCTCATTGGTGACTGATTCAGTGTATTCTTGTATTATTGCTTACCAAAATGTTGTTTCTAATTTTGTAGTTTTGCAACTCCAGCTTGATTTTGTCTGTGTGTGTGTTTGTGGCTTCTTTTCACCCTGTCTCTCCCTCTCTCCTGCTTTTTACAGATAATGATGAATAAACCTGACTCAGGAAATTCCTTAATGCTGCACATCAGCATTTGAAGTCTGCACAGCTAAATAACAAATTGTAGTAGAGAATGTGACATGGGGCAAGAGAAGCAGGACTTCAAAAAAGAATGTTGATTGTATGGAAAAGAGAAGAAACATGTCTTTTAAAACTGAGATACCTGTACACTTCTCTTGTGTGTACTTGTATATGTGTTCATTAAGTATTAGATGCCTAAACTTAAAAAAACCCAAAACATCAAGAAACAACAAAACAGACAAGCTCAAACCCTGTAATCTCTCAAATTCCAGAAGAAGTATAGAAAGGAATACCTGCAGATATTTCGATACAAATTTGAGACCTACAGTCTCAGTGTAAAACAGAATTTCTGCCATATCGAGCAGGTGCCTGGCACGGTTAAGCAGGTGGAAACACTACTATGGGGTGGAAGTACCCCCATCTAGCTATTCACTTACATACTTAAAAGAGCCTCTCTTCACACTTACGTAAATCAAGTACTTCATTTTTATTGACCCTTGTGGTTGCATTTTAATAGCATTTTAATCTAGTGGTCCAGCTTGAGTATTTCATGTTTTTCTTAATAAATATTTTGAAACTGAAGGTTTCTGTCACTTTTTATCTCATGTCATCTGAAATATCTTAAGGGTGTTTCTAAATCAAGGCAAACTGGTACTTCAGTCATCATTGACATGTCTGGGTTTTTTTGAGAAATTTGTGAAATCCATTTGGATCTAGAATACTTCTTTTTCCAATATTTTTCTTCCCCTGCCCCAGCCTCTTCCCAGAATCCCAAGTATTTAAATCTTCTGAATTTTGTTACCTGGTCAATAACAACATCGTATGCTGTTGAATTGAAAGGAGTGGGGTTTTTTTCCAGTTTGTTTCTGAGTTCTTACTCAGCTCCAGCAGCTCCAGCAGAAGATGAAATATGGCAGATGCAAGTGCTATGTGTAATACTTATCATCTTTTGGCTCCTTTTGTAGATTGATTTCCCCCACCCCAAAAGAAAAGACAGGTTTCTTCTAACCCACATTTCCTTGCCCCTGTCACTAGGGCATGCTGTTGTTCTCCAGTCATTACCCCTGGAACAGCTTTATTGGTTTTCCCCTGCAATAAGTCTCTTGTCACAAATCTGATGAACTGTCAAACTTCCAACTGCCCTTCCGGAGAAAGTAGATTTGGTTTTATTTTTTCAGCTACAGCCAGTCACAATGTAAAACTGTCAAAAGTTACTTTTCCACAAAGTAAAATCAAGTATATATATGTATTATTTAGAACTGTCAAAATATGTACATGGTTTTTGTATAATTGTTTTATGGTGTTGTTATTAAAGTTTTGCCCACTGACAAGTGTTGCTTTTTTAAAAAAACACATACAGTTCTTTAAAGATAGACCAAACCTACTCTATTTCAGCTGTATTCTAGGAACCTGCAGTGAGAATAAAGTTAATAATCATAAATGTCTTTAATTATTTTTTATATCCCTATTTGTTTGATAACCACCTGTTGCTTCATCTAGTGTGAAAGCATGATCATTGTTGAAAGTACTACTGGTTCTGGCCTATGCTGCTTCTCTTCCCCTTCCATCTCTCCTTTTCTTTTTCCTCTTTTTTTAACCTCTCGCAGTAACTTTTGGGTCTTTTCACTGGGCTTCTTCTCCCAGGGGAGGATAACAGGGGAACCAGGGAGAGAGACTTTAAAGTTGAAAAAAAAAGACTTGAACCAGTTTAATGAAAAAGAAAATATTAACAATAACAATGAAGATGATAAACTATATACAGACATGTACAAGTATGTAAATATATTTAAAGATACAAGGGAATATGTTAATAGAGAGCTCACTCGCTCCACATGACAACTGGGGCCCGAACAGAAAGGTCCCAGTCTGGACTAGGCAGCAGATGGGAGCACCCAAACCCAGAGTCCCGATGACAGTCTGAAAGAACAGAAAAGGAAGCCTTGAAGCGGCTGTGCTACTCCCATCAACGGAGGCAGGGAAAGACAACCTGTTCCATCAAACTTTGCACCTCTGCAGTGTAGAAACAGGAGGCAGGAACAGCAGCCACACAGGGAGAGGTGACAAACAGGTGACAACAGTCCTCCCAGCACAGCAGGCACTAAAGACCGCAGGGCTTTTCTTGGGGGGCCCTTTTATACTGAGCATCATGGGAAGAAATACCATGATTGGCCCATTTGGGTCACCTGACCCATCCTCTCCTCCCATGGGCACAGCTGCCCCCCCCTGCCCCACTGTGATTGCCCCAGAGAACTTTTATCCCGGTGCTCTCACACCCGGACACAGGTTAATCCTTAGACCATGTCACACAGAGCTGTTTAACAATTACTTGAAAAATATGTGCAGATTGTGCACAGCTTTTCAAGAATAATCTTCAAATCTGCCAGCCAGTACTGGATAACCTTGAAATCCCTCAGGAGTTGACTTAAAATTGACAGAGTAAATAAGTTTGTCTGCTAAAGAAATACTTTTATCAGAAATTTTAAATCCCTATTTAATCCCTATTTATTATCGCTGTAATGCCATCAAAGCATGTGACTTCAGGATAATATATTGGTCTGTACATGAAATTACTGAAATTAGTTGAGCATTTCATTGGTGTTCATTTTACATTATACAGAATTTTCTGGTTTAATTTTAGTAGCTAATTGAGATACAGAATAGCATTTTTAGCACAAAATGTACTCTGTACTCTTTCACATTATATCCTCGTCCTCCCTCAGTCTTTCTTCCTGACCCCTGTAGTTCAAACAAGAAGTTAAAAAAAAAACCAAAAGAAAACAAAACAACCAGCCACAAATAACCACAGAAATACCCAAACCCACTGAAACACAACGCCTGTGGTGGGAAGACAAGAGTCTTGACCGCAAACTGGCTTCGTTTTGAGCTGGGCAGGTACAGCAATCCTACCCAGAGCATCGGTGC